TTACAGGCAATATGTAAATAACTGAGTATGGCTGTGTTGTAATAACACTTTGATTACAAATATAAAAACTAAAAACTAAAATAAATCAATTCCAGGGAAAATAAAGAATTTTGCTGAAAAGGAAAAATAATCTCAGTATTCTACCAAGTTCAGCTCTGTGGAATACATCTAGAACAGCAGTCGCCAACCTTTCGGACCTCTCAGACCACTGGTGGTGACCGCTGATCTAGAACATCATAATAATGTAAACAAAAAATAGTAACCTTACTACTCATATAAATATATTGAGGATAAGTGAGTACAGGAAGCGTGCTTGCATGTGGGTGGGGAGTGCATTATGAAAGACCTATATCCTTTGCAGTACTAGTAGGAAGTCATTAGAGCATACCTCAAATTGAAAAACCAAGAAGTAGCAACATAAGTAGGTTACTTAGGGAGTGATGGTACAAACAAATAAAAAAATAGAAATAAAAATGTTTGCCTCTGAGAATCAGAAAATTATTGGAAGATGGCAGTGGAAAGGTATATGCTCTCTACTCTCCTCCCCTAAAAGTCTATTAAAACTTAAAAACAAACAAAGAAACAAACAAACAAACAAAAAAAACCCCAGGAAAATATTCCTGTCTTCTTTAGAGAATTGTTTATTTTATTTTTTTAAGTTGGCAAAGTTTTCACTGATTAACTGTAGATCTTTTCTCAATACCTTTAGGCTCATATCCTGAAAAAAACTCTAACTTGATCTAATTTGGCCTATTTGCTCTGTTGGCCTGCTGCTCAATGTCATTTTAGGTTTTCCCTTCAGCATTGTCCGGGAGATTCTTTTTACCCTTCTTTTGTGTTGGAACCTCTGTTTCCTGTCTTCCGTGTATTTTGTGGCTTACTTCTTTCTTTTGGGAGAGTACATCCTCCAGTGGCTTTAAAAAAAAAAAATAAAAAAAATATATATATTTTATTGAGTTTTTACAGAGAGGAAGAGAGAGAGATAGAGAGTTAGAAACATCGATGAGAGAGAATCATCAATCAGCTGCCTCTTGCACCCCCCCCACTGGGATGTGCCCGCAACCAGGGTACCTGCCCTTGACCAGAATCAAACCTGGGACCTTTCAGTCCGCAGGCTGATGCTCTATCCACAGAGCCAAACCGATTTTGGCTCAAGTGGCTTTTTGAGAAGGCTGAATAGGAGGTAAAAATTTTTAAGCCTTGCATATTTGAAAGATGCCTTTATTCTCTTGTCACTGCATTGCTAGTTTGGCTGAGTATAGAATTTTGGGTTAGAAACCAGTTTCCTTTGGGATTTTTCTCCATCATCCTGTATTGCCCTTAATGATTGCCACTCTGAATTTCAGTCCTTTCTGTGAAACCTACTTTTAAGCTTGTGGAATCACCTGCCCCTGGTGCTGAGACCTTTTGCCTCGAGAGCTGCAGATGAGCCACACCCCACTGATCCTCCAGACTTCCAAAAGCCTTCCGTTTGGTAACTATCGTGTTACTCACTGGGCTGGGAACTAATTTGCATATGGCCTGTTTTCCAGGGCATAGCTTGCTTTTCTCTTACAGTCAATTTTTGTAAATTGTTTTCACCCTGTGTTGAAGATGTGCTGCACAAAGATCAAAAGATAATGTCCAAGGATGTGATATTTACCCATCAGCTTCTCAGGGGGAAAAAAGGAAAAGAGAGCACTTAATTTAGAATAAGGAAGACCAATTTAGATGCAAAAGGAACAAGAGGTTTTTTCTGACTTTTCATCTTAGTTTAGCTAATGGGTTAATAGGTCTTTTATCCAACTATTGACTCAGAGGCTGCTGTAAACAGCAAGAATGGTATAAAGAGTTAGTGGAAGACCTCAAGCTATTTCTTTAAGGAAGTGACTCTCAAATCTGCTTGCACATTAAATTATGATGCCCAGGGCCTCACCCCAGAACAACTGAATAAAAATATCTGGGTCCTCGCCCTAACCGGTGTGGCTCAGTGGATAGAGTGTCAGCCTGCGGACTGAAAGGTCCCAGGTTCGATTCTGGACAAGGGCATGTACCTTGGTTGTGGACACATCCCCAGTGTGGGATGTGTAGGAGGCAGCTGATCAATGTTTCTCTTTCATCAATGTTTCTAACTCTCTCTTCTCCCTTCCTCTCTGTAAAAAAAATCAATAAAAATATATTTAAAAGTATATGGGTCGTGGACATGTACATTAAAAAGAAAAACTCTTGCCTTAGCTGGTTTGGCTCTGTGGTTAAAGCATTGACCCTCAGGCTGAAGGGTTGTGGGTTTGATTCCCTGTCAAGGGCACATTCCTTGGATGCAGGCTCCTTCCCCACTCTGATTGGGGCCTGTGGGGGAGGCAACCTATCGATGTGTCTCATATTTATGTTTCTCTTTCTCTGTCTCTTCCCCTCAATTCTACTCTCTCTCAGAAGTTAATGGAAAAAATATCTGCCAATGAGGATTAAAAGAAAAGAAAAACAAAGAAGAAAATCTTAGGTTGTTCTAATATACCAGAGGCCCGGTGCATGATTTTATGCATGGGGATTGGGTGGGTCCCTCAGCCCGACCTACACCCTCTCCAATGGCTGTCTTCTGTCTGGGGGCCCACTTGCCTGCTTGCCTGATCACCGTTGCTGGTGGGACTGAAAGGACTGGGGGACTCCAGCAGCAGGCAAGTGGTGCAGCCGGATCTGCCTAGAGGCAGTCGGGCTGCACCACCCACATACCACCCCCTGGGACTGGGGGACTTGGGCGGGGCTGAGGGGACTGGGCACCACAATCTTTGTGATGGATTGACAGTCAATTTGCATATTCCCTCTTTATTAAATAGGATACTTAAGGTTGAGAACTATTCCTTTAGTAGGTTAAAATATAGGTGAAAATTCAAATATGTGCATTCATTGCTATATAACATGGAATATTATGATGAGTGAGACAGAGATATAGGTACATGAATTGGGAGAGTTTTTTGTTGTTAATCCTCACCCAAGGATATTTTTCCATTGATTTTTAGAGAGAGTGAAAGGGAGAGGGAGAAGAAACATTAATGTTCAAGAGTCTCATCGATTGGTTGCCTCCTGCATGTGCCCCTCACTGGGGCTGAGGATCCTGCAACTAAGGTACATGCCCGTGGTTAGAATCAAACCCGGAACCTTTCAGTCTGCAGGCCAACACTCTTATTCACTGAATCAAACCAGCGAAGATTTTTAATTAGAGTCATCTTGAAAGGCTTCATCAAGAAAGTCTGTGTTGAGGTCGGGGAGCTTTCATAGGGAGAGAGGAGTCTCTGGACCAGGAATTGAGTGTCAAGTATTTTGACTGGATGTAGGACATATGGGGAACAGTTGAAATAAAAATTCGACGTTAGGTTGTAGCCAGATTTTAGACAATCCAGTGTCAAACTAAGGAGTTTTGACCTTATCCTGCAGGTGGGAGGGAGGCTTTGAGGAGACATTGAGGGAGGCATCGAGGATTTTTGTTGAATGATCAAAGTGGCCTGATCAAAGGGGTGTCTTTGAAGAGTGATCCAATGGGAATGGGGGATATGTAGTGTGAATAACATGAGGCAAGAGTCCAGGGAAAGGAAGATCAGTTGGAAAACTCCTATTATGGTCAAGAGTATAATGCTCTGAGCTAGGAAAAGAGCAGTGGAATTAAAAAAATAACAATGAACATTTGTATACTGTTTTCAAAATGACAAAGTTCTTTTCCACATCTCATTGAACCTCACAATAACTTCATGGTATTGACTTCCACCTTTTACAAAGGAAGGAACTGATACACAGAGTCAAGCTGCTATGAAGTAACCAAGTGGAAAATGGAAGGGCCTAATTGGGTGATGACAGAGCAATACTAGGGAGCTGCAAGGATGCTTCGGAGGTATCAGGTTGGGTGTGAAGATGGTGGAATTCCTTAGTGGCTAACTCAGTGTCAAATCTCTGGCTGTGGTCTCAAGTAAACCCTTATGTTCTTCTTATTTATTTATTTATTTATTTATTTATTTATTATTAAATATGTTTTTATTCCAGAGAGGAATGGAGAGGGAGAGAGAGATGGAAATGATAAGAGCAAATCATTGATCAGCTGTTTCCTGCACAAACTCTACTGGGGATTGAGCCCGCAACCTGGGCATGTGCTGACTCTTGATTGGGAATCGAACCACGACTTCCTGGTTCATAGGTTGCTACTTCACCCACTTCCATTGCATTTATGGTTTGATATACAATGATGTCTTATAAAGGTGTGGTGAAGGAAGGGAAGTAATGGCTGTCACCAATTCAACTTGTCTCAAATAAGAATATTTAGGCCTTTTCTGTGTATCCTGAGTTTTCAGATAGTTAAATTTTGTTGAATATTAGAAGGTTTAGTCAGACATGGGACTTCAAATATGGGCTGAGTAGGTTAGCTGTGACTGAGTTTCCTTTTCCCTGGTGGTTGAGAAGAGAACTGTGGAGTGTAGTAGTATAGACACGAGAGAACATCCTCATGGCTCTAGTGATTAGGGTGTTTGATCAAGATTGCATCCTTGTCAGAGCTGGAGATTGAACCATGGCCATCACTGTGGTAATTCACTTTGTTCACACATTTACCTTATCTATGTGCTTGTCCATTTTGTGTACCAACACCCTGGGGCTATCAAATAGAAGCTAAAATCAGCCATGCAGGTGATGAGTTGTACTTTTCCATCCGAGATGTTCGTTTCCTTGCAATCAAATAGCAGAAGAGCGTGCCAGAAAGTTAAGGGATGCCTAAGGAGGTACGAAGGAGAGGATCATCATCACGGCAAACCTTGATTAGGTTTTCTATAAAATGCTGGGTGATATGGGTGAAGAGAATGAGGCTGGAGGTAGAATGGAGGTTGAGCTTTTGTGACCTGGCATTCTCAGTCCAGGTGTGTAGAATAACATTTATTGGCTCTGGGTGCGGGGAGGATAAAGGCTCTTTTGGTGATTTGTAATGACAACATCCTTGGAAAATTAAAATATCACATTTTATTTCAACTGCTCATTTTCTTTAGAATACTGGAATCTTCAATGGCAGGAGAAAGAGTGATCAGAAGACCGAGATGAGTTTTAACACTATTCTAGAAGAGATTCTCATTAAAAGGTCACAGCAGAGAAAGAAGACATCACCCTTAAACTACAAGGAGAGACTTTTTGTGCTAACGAAGTCCATGTTAACCTACTATGAAGGTCGAGCAGAGGTAGGAGACAATCAAAGTGTGCTTTGCTGATTTCTGTGTTGTTACTACTTTGTAATACTTCCTCCCATTTTATGGAATAAGTTTTAGATTAAGGAAGTTAATAATGAAGTAAAGGTAAGAATACGTTATTTGGTTTTGAAAGATAAAGTTTAGGATGTGGATATAAATTATTCATAAGTTCATTAATTATGGGTTTGGTATATATGGGTAAACATTATATATCAGCCTACTACATTAATCTGTTAATGAAAACAAATTAAATCCTTATGGAATTCATTAAGTATATTGTATACATGGCTCTTTCCCATAAGTTACTGTATTACATATCAAAGTCTTCTTTAACACGTAGAAACTGTGTCTGCATCAATAAAGTGGCACAGACCTCTGCCCTCTCTTGGTTCTCTGTATCCCAGGCTCCTCCAATATGATGGCAATAAACTTTTATTGAAATTCTTCCTGTTAAGCACAGCGTATTGTCTTTGGGAGTGTGTTGAGAAATTCTTTTCTGGATGGTAGAAATGCAGGCAAGCCAAACCTTCCAACTCTGACATTGGAAAACCTGTATTTCAGTTTCCGTGACCGGCCACTCTTTGGTGTGCACTCCTTGTTCTTATTACTCACAATTAGCTCACATTTCTGCATATTCTAACGAACTGGTAATTGATCTTCCCGGCAATTTATGTTGTTTGATCTTACTCATAATAACGCAGAACAAAGCAGGTTTCATCAGTGATCTTGCATTCTGCCCAGGGAACTAAATGGAGGTCAGATGATCTGACACGTCTAGGGACGCTCTGTGTGGTATTGCGAGGGAATCCAGGGGAGCACAGGGCTGGGGGTTAACCAGGAAAAAGGCCACTAAATAATGGTGAGAAAACAAGGGGTGAAGGATTTCTCTATGTTGCGATGTGGAATAAAAAATTTTCAAGTAGCGAGTAAATCTCTATATCAACAATTGCCAGCTAAGAAATCAGGAACTTTTTATAACCGGACTTAGGGACTGCTAATTTGGTGTGTTTTCTCTAATGCTGCTCCAGTATGGATACTGGCAAATGGTTTATAAAGTCCAGTATGGATACTGGCAAATGGTTTATAAAGGGAGTAGGGAGCCTACTCGGATCACGAAGGCTGCCTCCAGGTGAGATGATGTGATAGGAGGATTCACGGCACTCAGCATGTAGTTGCACTCAGATACAGCTTTTTTGGTTTATTACTGTGAAGGGAGTCAGAACAAAATCAGCAAAAGTAAAAGGCAAATGGGACAAGTCAGGAGGAAACCAGGCATAAGCTTGTAAGAGTTCTTTCTCCATGGAGGCACAAAGGGTGTGCACAATCCCTCCGGCATCAAATTGTGACAGTTATGAAATGTTGTTACCAGCAAGCTCGTTAGAGACTCGGTAGCCAAGGTTTTCATTGGAGGCTGATCACATAGGTGCCCTCTGCCTAGCATGTACCAACACTAAAGACTCCACAAGGAAAGCAGGTGCTCAGCTTAAACATATTGTTTGTACAAATAGTTTAGGCTCAGTGAGCTATTCATATGGGTGCTCAGAATGGCAGGGCCCTCCCAGAGTTCAAGGTTAAGCCCAGGGCCAACCCTTGAAAAGCAGGCTTTTCCCAAGATAGTAGTCTCGTAGGCCAGCTATGTTAGTAACTCTTTTTGCAAATCAGTAGTAATACTGATGAAAATTTTTGAGCACCAAATGTATGCCAGGAACTGTGCTAAATACTACACATGCATTACTTCCCCCCTCAAAACAATGCTAAATTGTATTATTAGTATCCTCATTTAAAAGATGAGTGATGTGAGGCTTAGAAAGTTTAAAAACTTGCACAAGATCATACACCTAATGAATTACAGGGCTGTTTTCTTCAAAGCCTATCTTTGAAACCACCTTGATACTCCAAAAAGTGGAACAAATCTGTTAAATCTTTCTGTAATACAGGTAGAGTTGAATTTAAAAAAAGTATATTTTTATTACTTTCAGTTATGAATTTTTAAAAATTCCTTTGCAATAGAAGAACATAAACAATAGATAGGGTTTTTGTCCTGGCTCTGCCACTATCTACCTGGACACTGTTAACAGTGCTCTTCAATTTGTATATACACCTCGTGGCCAGATTATTATGATCTCTGAATGCATAATAATCTGCCCACTCAGTGTGTGTGTGTGTGTGTGTGTGTGTGTGTGTGTGTGTGTATGTGTGTATATATATATATATATGTTAGAGGCCCAGTGCATGAATTCATGCATGGGTGGGATCCGGTCAACCTGGCCAGGGGGTGGGGACATGGACAGTTGGCTGGCCTGCTTGCTGGTCAAACTTCTGGTTGAGGGGGCAATTTGCATATTAGCCTTTTATTATATCTGATGTATATAAAAGTGGCCAGATTATTATGCATTCAGAGATAATAATAATCTGGCCACTCAATGTATAGTTTAGAAATTACTTTTATATACATTTTTTATCTCTTTATATTCTGAACTCCTCCTTTGTCATCTCTGCTTCAACCCTAGCCCTCATCCCATCTATTACCAGGTCCCATGAATTCTCCTTCCCTTTGTTACAACTTTAAATTGGCTCCCCACCCCATTCTCTTAGGTGGGTTACTGCTGTACCTGATTCCATTCTTGAATATTTATCTTTTGTTTACAGAGTCTTCAGAGAGATAGTGAAAACCTGTAGCTTTGTATCTTCTCTAGGATCAAGTTAAAACTCTTTAGCTTGGAATTCAAGGTGCATAATGCAATTTTCTAATTGCCAACTCTCTTCGTCCGGCCTCAGCCATATACCTGCAATTGCCTTTTCTCATTGCCTTTTTAATACTGGTATTGGAGTGATATCCTTCTCTACCTTTCTGCCAGGATCTATCTCTCCATCCACTGTCTCTTTTAGCCACAAAAAATTTGTTGAGTGCCTGGCAGGAAGGTAGAGAAGGATATCACTCCAAGTAGATGGATCAATACCAGTATTAACAAAGGCACCATGAGAAAGGGCAATTGCAAGTATATGTGCCAGTCATCTTTCCTGATTCAGCTCACTCCCTACCTCCTCTGAAGCCTTTCCTATTCTTTCCCACTAAAGGTAGAATCCACACCCCACTTCAACCCTCTGGGCCCTGTAAACACTTCTATCATGGCATCTTGGTTGTCTGACTATTTACATATCTGCATCCTTCATTGGACTTTAAACTCTTTGAGGGCAGGGTTCACAGCTTATTTATCTTTGCATTTGTGAGGGATCAGTGCACAGTGGGTACTCGGGAGGAGGGCTGGCTGGATGGAAGGAGAGATGGAGGGACCATACTCTTAGACACAGACAGGGCAGGTTCAACCTAAACATACTAGTACATATTGAACCATGATAACCAGGAAGGTGGTCTCACTGCAAGTAGAAGAGTCAGAATTTGAACCTTGATATTCTGACTCTAAGTTCAGTGCTTTTTTCACAATGCCACCAGTGCACCCTTATCATTTCATTCCAGCTCTACTGAAATCGAACATTGTTTGTAATGAGATGCTTGAAATTTTAGTCTTTCTAAAAAAAATATATTTTATTGATTTTTCACAGAGAGTAAGAGAGAGGGATAGAGTTAGAAACATCGATGAGAAAGAAACATTGATCAGCTGCCTCTTGCACATCCCCTACTGGGGATGTGCCCGCAACCAAGGTACATGCCCTTGACCGGAATCGAACCTGGGACCCTTCAGTCCACAGGCCGACGCTCTATCCACTGAGCCAAACTGGTCTTGGTGAAATTTTAGTCTTTTAACCAGGATAACTGACAGGATGCTTGAGGCAATCAGTTACGAGTATGACGTGACACGAGTCTCCTAAATATCCTGGGGAAACTCTCCTATTTCTATGGAGTCTTCTGGGTCATGGAGGATGGTTTTCTTGACCAGCCCTGGGAGCCTGGAGACTGTGATACAGAGATAAGAGCCTCCTAAAGTCCTGGATGATCACATGTTTCTCTCCTGGTTGTATCCTTAACACTACATGGACCTCCCAGTGGGAAGCATAGGTTTCCAGGACACTTGTAATCGTACCTGAAGATTTGCATCTTTCAGCACTTCCTCTGATTCTGGAGGATGGGTGTGGGGTGGGAAAAGTTTCTTTTGTTTACTATAGGGAAATTGGAAGCATTTGCATCACACTTTAGGTTACCAGATAGTTCAGTAGTTTGTAAAAAATGATACAGTTCTTACACTAAATAGAGGCAGTACAGCGCTTATTGTACAAGGAAACTTTTTTTTGGCTATGAAAATTCTCAACTATATTATCCCAGAATTTTTTTCTTTTATTATATTTAAGCTAGTGGCCCAGCGCACAAAATTTGTGCATGGGGGGGGGGTGTGTCCCTCAGCCTGGCCTGCATCCTCTCCAATCTAGAACCTCTTGGAGGATGTCTGACCAGCATTCGAACATCCCTTTCGCAATCTGGGACCTCTGGCTCCTAACTGCTCACCTGCCTGCCTACCTGATTGTCCCTAACTACTCTGCCTGCCAGCCTGGTCAACCCCAACTGCGCCCCCCTTATGACCTGGTCACTCCAAATGCCCCTACCCCCCTGCCAGCCTGCTTGCTCCCAATTGCCCCCCCTGCTGGCCTGCTTGCCCACAACTACCCCCCCACCAACCTCATCACCCCAACTGCCCTCTCCTGGCCTGATCACCCCTAACTGCCTCTGCCTCAGCCCTGCCACCATGGCTTTGTCTGAAAGGACCCCCAGAAGGTCTCCTGGTTAAATTAGCATATTACCCTTTTATTAGTATAGATGATTTTTCATTATTTAAATTTTTTTAATTTATTGATTTGCGAGAGAGAGAAACATCGACTTGTTCCACGTATCCATGCATTCATTGGTTGCTTCTTTTATGTGCCTTGACCATGGATGGAACCTGAAACCTTGGCATATCTGGACAGTGCTCTAACCAAATGAGCTATTTGGCCAGGGTGAAAACTCATTTTCTTGTAGGCAGTTTAGTTTCTTTGTT